ACCTGTTGATGGGCATCTTAATTATTGTGAATAATTCAGCAGTAAGCTCTCTCTGCGGTAGGATCTAGAAACCTTTCTGTGGCATACCCAAGAATGATATAGCTGGGTCATATGGTTCGCCTCTGGATTGGTTCCTATAGTGGATGTGCAGCTCATACTCCCACAGTCAGGGCAGAGTATTCCTCTTTCCTCATGTCCTCACTAGTGCTTGTTGTTGCCTTCTTGATCTCAGCCATTCTGACTGGGGTGAGATGGAATCAGCTTTAATTTGCATTTTATTGGTGGCTAGGGATGTTGAATACTTTTAAAAATACTTGTTGGGTCATTTGTGTTTCTTCTTTGGAGAACTGTCTGTTCTGTTCATTGACTAGATGGTTGGGATTTGGGGTGAAGTATAGCTGGAAAAAGTATTTTTGGGAGGTTGGGGTTAAGATGGGCTCTCTCTTTTCTCTGCTGATAGTTTCCTTTGCTGTGCAGAAGCTTTTACATTTTTTTTTATTTAATAAAGTTTTACTTTTCCAAATGTACAGCTGATTGAACCTGTTCATGAATCTTCACCAGCAGCTGGGGCATCTCTGCCCTTTCTGTTTCTGTGTAAATTACTTGGGCTCTCTGCTTTGAAACCAGTTTGATAAGTCCTTTACTAAGTAGTCCTGGTCAAGGAACCGAGAGTCTTCAGTCTCTGAGACAGAAACTGGAGGAATAAGCTTACGGTTGGGAACTTCCTTACACAGTTTGTCATATGGAGCTTGGTTAAAGCTAAAGCTAAAGGACTAGATTGTTGAGCTTGTCCTGAACTTTGCCTTTGGACTACTTCTTTTTGGCCTTGCCACCAGACTTGTTTATTGGGTCTTTGTCTTTTTTGACCGACTTTTTGGAATCTTTCTTGTCATCCTTGGGCAGCGTGATGAAGCTCAGGAAGTGGCGATGACCACTGTGGGCTCCCTAGCACAGGGGAGGAGGAGAGCAAGCTTTTTAATTTTAAATAATCCCATTTGTCAATTCTTAGAATTATGTTTATCCTTCTGGAGTGCTTTCAAAAAAAATCTTGCCTATGTCTTTGTCTTAAAGTCTTTTTCCTCTAGCAGTTTCAGCTTGTCATATATTTTCTATTAAGGTCTTTGCTACATTTTAAACTGATGCTTTTGTTTGTTTAAGAGATGGGGATGGAATTTCATTCTGTATGCAGAAGAAGAAGGTTTCAAAAAGGTTGTCTTGTTTCCAATGTGTCTTTCTAATACCTTTATCAAATAGGATAATAGGACCCAGAATCAGCTATGTGAGCTGATTTCTGGGTCCTCTCTCGTGTTCCATTGGTCTGTGTTCCTTTCCTCTGTGACAGTACATGCTGTGGCTACTCTGGCTCAGGTATAATGTGAGGTTAGATACTATGATATCAAACATTGTTCTTTCTGCTTAGAAACAGTTTAACTATTTGGGCTCTTTTGTGGTTTTCATATGAATTTTAAGTTATTTTTTCTAGTTCTGTAAAGAATATTATTTGAGTTTTTTAATCATAGTGTATCTGTGTGCAAGAAAGATATCACCACATATAGACCCTATTTGGTACTATAGTCATTTCCATAAAATTCTGCTAATTCATGAGCACTGAAAGTCGTTCTGTTGTCTAGTATATTCTTTAGTTTCTTTTGTGCCTTAAAATTTTCATTGTAGAGTCCTTTTACCTTCTTAGTTAGACATATTCCTAGGGATTTTCTTGTTGTAATTGAGGCTATTTTGAATTGAATAATTGTTCTTAATTCTCTTCTTAGCAAATTCATTGTTGGAATATAGAAAAACTAGTGGTTTTAGCGTGTTGATTGTGCATCCTACTACTTTGCTGAAAACACAGATCTCAGAGTCTTGTCAGTCTTCACTGTACCTTGAGTACTGTACCTTTTATGTCCAGAATGGTGTCACCTAAAATGGGGTCAGATGAGCTCTCACTTTGCTGTTTATGTCCCTTCTATTTCTTTTCTTATTGCGCTAGCGACGACTTTGAGAATTCTGTTGGATGAGAGGAGAAAGACATCACCCATGTATCATTCCAGGTTTTAGAGGAAATGATGCTTCCCTTGTTTAAAGTTGGCTGTACGTTTGCTATATATTGCCTTTATATTGTATGTTCCTTCTGTTCCTCCTTTCTTCAAGACTTTTATCATGAAGGCATATAGAACTTTTGTCAGGTACCTTTTATGTGTGTGTTGAAATGGTTAATTCATTTCTGTCTTTAAGTGTACTTACATATTCTGAAATATTTATTGATTTGCTTATGTCGACCCAACTTTGCATTGCTGAAATAAGATCATCTTTGTCCTAGTGTATGGTCTTCAAATGTTTTCCCTTTTTTCAGATGTCCTGGGCTTAGTCTTCTATTAGGTTTTGTTTGAAGCCTTTGATGTTTGCTGGGAAGGTTGATTTCATCCTTTGACTCTTAGTTTGAGATAATTTTGCCAGTGGGTTATCTTCCTTCTTTCCTCCCTCCCTCCCTCCCTCCCTTTCTTCCTTCCTTCTGTGTTTTCATCTCTGTTTTTAAAATAACATAATATTTATGGATTCTTTGTGAATGTCATATCATGCACCCTAATCCTACTCATTTCCTAGTCCTTCCATAGCCATCCTCCACCTTTGTAACCTCCCTGCCAAAAGAAAATAAAAAATTAAAACGACTACAACAACAAGAAGAAGAACATCTCGCCAACCCCTCTAGGCAATGACCGGCTCCTCTATCAACCACAGACTTCTCTCACACCCGTCACAGCTATTGTATGTCCACTCTGCTGTGCATGTGCCACTCTGCTCCTCCGTCTTTCCCACTTTGTCATCACATGCTCACTCATCATAGTGGCATTTGAAGCTGTGGTGTGTTATGAAGTATATCCTTTTGCCCAAACAGCTTTACTTGTATATGTTTATTGCAATGAGTCATTGGTCTGGTTCAATGCCTCTGGTTTCTGCTACACCATCAATACTCAACCCTCACAGAGACATCTCTCAGATGTCACGCTATTGTCCAGAATCATGGAGCTCCTACAGCTGTGGTTCCACTGGACCGGTGGGGTCGATGTTGGGGAGGCCGACTCAAAGCCCTGGATATAGGCCTGAGTGATAGCTAAGTTGGTCAGCCTGTCAGCTCTCCCTTGCCCACACCACTGCTGGTGCCTCAGGTGGCAGCATAGGCCTCTCACATCAGGCTGTTCCCCACCACCATCACACCTCCAGTTCCACCCCTCTCCACAGCACAGTAACCACCCAGTTTCTCTTTGTCTCCCATCTCTCCAGCACATACTTGCTCATCATTGTGGTGGGCCTCCTCGTTATGTTTCTTGGAGACAAGAAACAATGAAGTTTGTTTTTTAATCCAGTCAATCTGTTTTATTTCAATGGTTAGTTAAGTCATTGCTTTTAAGGTTATTATAGAGAGGGGCTTGTTATTCCCATTAGTTGTTTTGGTGGTGGTTCTGGCACCAACCAACAACCGTAGGTTGTTGTGGTTGTTTGAATTATTGGTAGTTATCTTCTTCCTCCTGTTAGTATTGGGGATTTGCTGGTTTCCTGTGTTGTGCATAATGAATTCCTTCTCGGCTCTCCTTTGCTGTCATGGCTAAGACTCTTTCTCCTTTCTGTGTCTGTAGTATTCCTGTAAGTGTTTTCTGCAGTGCTGGCATGGTTGTCATTGATTGTCTTAGCTTGTGATTATCTGGAACTGTCAAGAAATAACTTGGTGGTATAATGTTCTTGCTTGGCAGTTATTTATGATTAGGACTTGAAGTATATCATTCTATGCATTCTTGGTTTTTAGGTTTGCCAACAATAAATCTGTTGTTTTCTGATATGTCTTACTTGTATATGAATAAACATTTTCTCCTTACAACTTTTAATATTTCTTCATTTTGAACTTTATACATCTGTAGCAGTTAGCGTAGTCAACTTGACAGAATCTAGAATAATCTGGGAGATGGACCTTGGACATGGCTGTGGAAGATTTCTTGATGGTTTTCATAGAGGTGGATGACACTCACTATATGGATGGGGCTGTTCCCTGGATGGGATCCTGAATGGGGAAAATGGAAATTAAGAGCTGAGCAGCAGCATGCATTCATCTCTGTTTGATTCTTGCCTATGGATGCAGTGTGGCCAGCTGCCTCAAGCTGCCTCAGGCTTCTGCCATCTTGGCTTCCTCTCCATGATAGATGTGCCTTGAACTGAGCCAGAATGACTCTTCTTTAAGTTTCCCTTGTAGGAGTATTTCATCACAGCCACAGAAAAACCAAAGACATCTTAACTATGATACATAGGTCATGGAAAGGTTGTCTAGTCATAGCTCTTTGGGGGCTCTAAATGCTTGTGTAATTGGATGTCCATTTCCTTCTGTGGTCTTGGATATTTTCTGCTATAATTTTATTGAGTAAATAGTCTCTGCCCTTAGGCTTTAACTACCGCCTTCTGCCCATGGGTTCCTAGTTTGGGTCTTCTAAAGACATCCCAGCATTCTTGGGAGTTTGGATCATGCTCACTGTATGTATCACTTGTGTCCCCAGTAAGGTTTAGCAACAATGGTGCTAGGGTACTTGTTGGGGAATATGTAGTTTATAGTTTTTTGGACTTGAAGGTATGAGTATATATAAGTAGTGAAATGGGGAGGGGGCATGACAGCAAAGTAAGAATGAGAAACAATGTGGTTTGAGGGTTGAGATGTAGTAGAGAAAATATTGTGAGTAGTCCCGAAACCTTTCCAGGGGACGTACAAGTTAACCAAAAGTGAACAACTAAAGATCAAAAAGTAAATAATTCTTAAAATAAGGAGTACCATGAAATGGAAGATGTAAGGGCCTTCCTATTTCTTCCTTGTTAGGGTGATGTGGTTTCTCCCTCCTTCCTCTAGCTGTCTTGGGTATCAGTCTCCACAGGAGGGAAGACTGATAAAGCTCCTGCTGCCTTTAAAAGTGTAGTGATGGCTCACACCCAATTGACCGCCTAACCCTGTGTCTACTCTGCAGATAACGTCATCAACGGGCAGGACTATGAAGTAATGATGCAGATTGATTGTCAGGTGATGGACACCAGGATCCTCCACATCAAAAGCTCCTCTGTCCCTCCTTATCTCCGAGATCATCAGAGGAACCAAACCAACACCTTCTTTGGTTCCCCTCCAACAGCCACAGAGACAACTCATGTTGTCAGCACCATTCCTGAGTCCTTACAGTAGTGCCCGAGCCTGGCCAACCTGAAGAGCTGGTGAGCAGTGCTGCTCTCTGCCTCCTTGGCAAGTGGAGAACTGCCTCGTACTGGACTCAGGGAAAGAGAGAGAACAAGAAGCCACTCTGATTTTCACCGCCTACTCGCCTGTGTAGAACGTGCTAGAGAGCAGTCCTCTCGTGGCAGAGCCACCGTATCACAGTGTTGCCTGCCGTTGGTTATTCTGATGTATCTTTCTTCATTGCTTTCCTATTGGATATGTTTTGTTCTTAGTCATCTTCCTCCAGATATTTTGTCCACCTCACTTCCTGGCACAGTAAAGTGATTTTTATTTAAAGCTTTAGAACACATGCTCATGGGGTTTCCAACAATTGGCTTTTCCCTCCTTTACTTCAAATCCATCCAGAATATTATACTTGAGAAAACACATTTCAAAAATCCGAATAGCCAAAAACATCCCACAAAGAGTCAAAACAGTTTGGGGTAATGGGATTATCCCCAGTTGATAGTTTATTTTTACTTGTGATTTGTGGTTCAGCCCTGGACAAATAACTGTTGTGGGGTCAGAGCATGAGCCTCACACTGGAGAGAAGGGGCGGGAAGGCGTGTTGTGGAATGTAGGAAGAGGCGGTGACTCCATTTACTTGTGTGTTTAAACACTGGGGGCTGAGATGGCAACAATGTAAGCTGAGAGCCACTGCTACCTTTCTCTCTTGGAACTCTGCTAACCAGCACAGATCTTTAAGAACCTCAGGGCAAATGTTTCTTTCTGATGATGAATCCTCCACCCAGGACACACCTCTGTGAAAGCAGACTCAGCAAAGGAACTTGGAGGTGACTTCAGATTTAAGCAAGACTAGAGAGTTTTTTTCCCTTAAGGACTGACAATGCACACAGCAAGCATGGATTACCACTGAGAGGCTGCACCATACTGTGGCAAAATATTGCACTTTCTCCAGTGGAAAGATGAGGGAAAAAGGGAGGGAGGGAGGGTGGGAGGGAGGAAGGAAGAGGGAGAAAGAGAGAGGGGGGAGAGGGAGGGAGGGAGGGAGGAAATAGAGAGAGAAAAAAAATCTGTGACTGGGCACACACCTTTGATCCTAGCACCACTTAGGAGGCAGGGCAGGCTCTGAGTTTGAGATCAGCCTGGTCTACATACCAAGTTCCAGGACAAACAAAACTATATAGAGAAACCATCTCTAAATAAATAAATGAGAAAGCAAAAGTTATGTTCACATGTATTTTATTGTATTTTGCCTGCTTCCTTTACCATAGCAAGCAGCTAAATTTATATTGTAGTGTACGTTGTACACTGGCATATTCACAGAAATGGGTGTCAGGACTCCTGCCGTTTCTCGTGTGCTGCCTTCCTTCTGAAGTGAGAACTCCCTCAGAGCTTTCTGATACAATTTCCCCAGTTGCTTGCAAGCCTTGGTCAGGTGTTCCCCATCCAGTCCACACAGCCCTCAAGGGTTAAGTGCAGTCAGGTCATTTTCTGCCTGGCTCCTCACCAACAACTGTTCTCTGGGCATTGTTGCTATCCCCCAAGCTAGTTAGATGCTCCTGGGGCAGGGCCACTTTTGCTGTATTGTCTGGGAATCTGGAGTTCTAATAGTGCAGCCTCCTCTTTTTCCACAGTGCAAACTGTTGGGATTCGATGCCACAGTTCATCCTGAAGGGCTCTTGAGTGACTTTCAGACAAGACCTGGTTTCCCTGGGAACTGGTCTTCTAATGGGTGCCAAGAAACAGACAGCAAATGTATGGAATACTTTTAGGGGTAGCCATTTGTGAGGGAGGTAGGTCCTCTCTGCCTGTGAAGTAGCCCAACAAGAGGGTGTGGCCATGGCTGTAGGCAGCAGCAGCATGGATCTGCTGGTCTAGCAGCGTCTGAAGCAATTCTGGTGGTACCTCTCCCTCTCACTGCGCCACACAAGAGGAAGCTATCCAGGAGCTTCTTTTGCATCTTTGCTCTGTTGTGTTCATTTCACCAATTTCTCAGACCAAAGGCCTCTGTAGTGTCACATTTGCTAAGGCTGATGCCTCTTCTACAGGTGACATTAGGGATGATGGTTGGGAGGAAGGCTCAATCAAGGAGCAGGCAGATGTCCCGGTGGCCACAGCACAGGTCAGGGAGCCAAGGAACTGGGAAGGGATGTTCAAAAGTAGTCTGAAGCCTTGGGGCCTTGCTGTCTCTGCCCTCACTAGCTCTCCATGTCTTGTCCTCGCCATTCCTAAGTCCCTCTTTGGCACAAGGAATGGGATCTTCCTTGGGTAGTTCCAGGATACAAGGGGAAGACACTTGACAGATACTCAGACATATCCCGCTATTTAAATTGCTGAAAGAGCGATTGTCTTTGGGCACAGTAGTTTTTATCTTAATGTTTGCACAGGGCCCACTGGAAAGGGAAATTAAGCAGAGATTCAGGTTTCATTTTTTTATTTTGGTGAGATTGCCTTTAGGGGTGTATAGCCTGGAAATATAGGAGCTATATGTATATATAATATATATATATATTTTTAACTTATTAAGTTTTGAAATGTGATTTTGCAAGATTGTGAAAAAATTAAATAAATTTGAGCTAGAGAACTGGCTCAGTGGTCAACAGCACTTACTGCTTTTCCAGAAGACCCATGTTCAGTTCCCAGGTCACATCCATCCGTAACTCCAGTTCCAGAAGGATCCTATGCCTTTTCTTGACCTCTGCAGGTACACACACACACACACACACACACACACACACACACACACACACACACACAGAGAGAGAGAGAGAGAGAGAGAGAGAGAGGCAGGCAGGCAAACACTGCTACACATAAAACAAAAATGAGTAAACCTGGCTTTCTAAATTAGATATATTCCTGGAGGAAGTCATTCCACCTGATGATCTTGTGCCCTGGGCTATGGATCATCTGTAATGCTGGGAAGTGATAATGGAGGCTGACAGGGTGGTCTTTTATGTTTGCAAATCCCAGTTTTTAAATTCAGTAGAAATAATTGGATGTTTCCTCCTGATAACTACTGAGTCAAAACTGCTTCTCTCTGGGGTTAGCTCAGAAAACAGCTCCCTTAGAATGGAATGTTAGCCCACTTTCAGTTAGGAGGCAAAGAGAAAGATATCTGTGAGAAAAATGTTGCTCTTACCATGCTTGTAGTACAGCCGCTTCACCATAGACTACTGGCTAGAGTTAGCTGTTTTTAAAATTTAAAGTTCCATGGTTACAGGTTCATAGCGTCTTCTTCTGGCTTCTTCCTTAGGAAGTTGCAGCACAAAGCTGGCACCTTTTTGCCTTTCATGTTGGCAAGAAGTAGATGCTGGGCCAGTGAGATGGCTCAGCTGTTTCTTGCTGCCTTTCCAGAGTACCCAAGTTCCATCCCACCATGCACCTCACAGCTCATGTAACCCCAGCTCCAGGAGGTCCAGCTGATCTGCATAGGCACCGGCACACACATGGCATCCACTCACACAGACAAACACACACAAACAAAAACAATAATGTACTTGAAAGTGATTCAAACAGACTTTTCTCTCATGTTTAAAGAGACACTGTCCTGGTTCAATCCTATCGGCCCAAATCTCTGTCCTGGACAAATATTCCCCAGTAGTCACAGTAGCGAGATGCTATTAGACATGACTGCTGTGACTAGAACATTTGACATGGGAGAACTCCCACAATTTCACAACTGTAAGACTGTATTTTGGTCTCACCATTTTACTATGAAACGTGACAGAAATATACTATGGAACCAAACTGGGGACTGTGTTTGCCTTCCTCCCACATTGAAAACTTACAGCCCAGCCTCTGCTTCAGTAGCATATGAGAAGCAGCCACTTGAGAGAGCCAGGGTCTGATTGCACCTATGAGAGTGTTCTTCCCACCTCAGCCTAAGCGGCTGACTGCTTCCTTCAGTAGGTGAACAGACCTGAAAGTCCAAGTGAGACATTCTCATACCATAGCTCTGGAGCTCCATCACAGGAATCAACCTCCCAGGCACTCTGCATATTGCCACAGTTGCTGGAAGCTTATTGCCATCTAGGGACCTATATTCTTTACCCACATGGTCTTTTCACCACTTGAAAGCCATTTTAACTTACATAAGTAATGATTTTTCCCGATAATATGAACATAGTATGTCATCATTTTAACCAATAAAGTAAAGCCTAGAAGGAAGATAATGAAATGAAGACATTGTCATTCCCGCCCTAATAGCACTTGAAGGGAGACATTCCTCCCCAGTCCCCACTACAGGAATTATGGGTGATTTTTAAGTAACCACTGCACTACCTAGGAAGATATCACCAGAGTCCAAAAGGAACTATGCACATAGAAGAAATACAGTTTTCTCCTGCCTAAGAAAATTCTATTAGTACTCTATTAGCTTATATTTTTAATAGCTAAGCTTAAAACATAAGTTTATTTTGGATATTGCTAGAACTTTCAGCAGTTATTATATGTCAGGTATTCATAGAATCTATGAAAAAAAAGAATGACAAGCCTGTGTGATTAGGAAATTTCCTGAGTCATGTCATGGCTAGCTCGTGTCACAGAATGACCCTGTGTTCCGCTAACTGTAAGCATTGCACATTTAGTGCATAAAAAGACCTGCTTATGTCGGGGTTCAAGAACTAAAGAGTAAAAGTCATTTGTTAAGGTCAACAAATACCACACGGGTGCACTTTCTGTCTCAGTCGACTTGGTGGCTGTAGGTAAATAAACCAGGAAGTGTGGCATATTCCCCAGTATGCTAATCCCAGACTGGAAGGAGCAGATTGACTTCAGGGCAAGGGCATATCGATTAAGCTATCTTAACTATCAACTCTGGCCTCTGAGCAGTTATTAGGATTCAGGAGATGATGAAAGTTATGAAGCACTCTAGTCTTTGAGATTCTAGATTTTTCCCCCCTCATCATGGTAATAAGGTTCTACTAAGGCCAGTAGCACAGTATCCATGGTCATCTAAGAATGTGTGGGAGATGGGTTAGTAGCTCAGATGGAAGAGGACTTGCTTAGAATGCCTGATGCCAGGACTTCCTTCACCAGTACCACATAGTCCAGGCATGGTGGAGTATGCCTTGAATCCTAGCACTTGGGAGGTGGAGGTAGGAGGATCAGGAGTTCAGGGTCAACCTGGGCTACATGAGACCTGTCTTACCATGTGTTTAAGAAATGCAGTAAAGATGTATTATTCTCTCCTTTAATGATTATGTCTGTTTATAAGAATAATGGCAACAGACTATTTCGTACCCTCAACTAAGTCTTTATAATGTGATACCTGTTCTTTCTCTAAAATCCAAATAAAGAGTTTTAAAACTTGGTTTGTCTGTCTATGAATTTCAGTATTAAGTGGTT